TCTCCAACCCCAAATCCCTTGATTATGCAAAACCCTACAAATTGTCAGTCAAACTCAAACATGAGTTCAATTATCTTCCTAAAAACCATAAAGTCTCAGTTTTGTTAGGGTTTTGAGACAAAATGTTGACAAGCAGACCGAAGGACGCGAACATGCAGTTAGCGTTGGCGGAATAGAAATCGGGACTTACGCCGCGTCCTCCTGCAGTGGGATCGACGGCGATTGTGGAGTATGAGAAGCCAGTGTTAAAGGAGGAAGAGGATGACCTAGAGGTCAAACTCCGCCGCATCATCAAGAATGTTCCAGTCCACGTTAGCAACACCTCTGGCAGAGAGAAGAAACGAAGAGGATTAGGAAGAAATCACCCAAAATCAACACAAACTCACCTATTGACCTCCTGTCGTTGATGGATTAGAGTCGAGGAAATGAATTTGGCAATTAGGTTCGAATGGGTTTTTGAGTTTTAGCAAAATCAACTCCAAAATTTGGAGATTTGGGAAAGGGACGGAAACAATTAGGTCTACCAGGGGAGGGAAACTCAGAATTTGGGGAGGGAAAATTGGGGAAGATGTGGGGGGATGGGAAAATGTATACAGATGGCTAAAATTGAAAAGAAAAAAAATTATGTTTAAGAAATAAAGAATTACACAGACAGCGTTAATCCGTCTGTATAGTCACAGGTACACAGATGGATAATGGTTATCTGTTAGAATTGACATATTCGGTACAGACGGATAATTAGAATCCGTTTGTATAAATCTATCCTATATTAACGGATAATTTTTCCGTTGGTATAGATCTGTGTATACTAACTACTTAAAATTTTCGTTGGTATAGATGGTTTTATATAGACGGATTCATGTCCGTTAGTATAAACTTCCGTCGGTAAAAGGCATTCTGTTTGTAGTGTACAGTACCATTTTTTTTATTGTGACAACCTTAGTGCCATTGACCCCTCTATCAATCCTATCCAGCATTAGCAGACCAAGCATATAGAAATTTTTACTCATTTTGTGTGAGATAAGGTTGCTTTCAGGTTATCTTCCGTGAGCATGTTAACTCTTATTTTTAGCGAGCAACTGTCCTAACTTAGGCTCTTTCTATGCCATTGTTTCGCTCTCAAAGGACCACTTTGTGCGTGTTATGCTATTCCGCTCAAATGGTGGGGGATGATAATGGACCAATTTGCCTTGATCCATTCCCATGATCTAATTTGAACACAATTAGAAGCTCTTCCTGAATCAGTTCCATCCCATTGAAAACACAATTATTTCTAAGAAGCCATATAGCCCAAACATAAGAAAACCATACCACCTCCTATCCTTTCCTCTCCCTTTTATCAGTAAGTTCTACACAACGGCTTCCTAGCAGCTTCCTAGGTCCTCTGGATTTAATTCCCCACCAATTCAAACATTTTCCCCACAACACAAAAGCAAATTTGCAGTTTATAAATAGGTGGTAAACGATTTCTATATATCCCATCGTCACATATTTCGCATTTTTTCATATTATAATGCCTTAGAATGCCCCTTTTAAAAAAGAGTAAATCTACAAGGAATTCTATTTTGGACCATTTGCCAAACAAAGGCACACACCTTATCTCGGACCAAAGGATTCCAAATTTTCTCGAAACGCCTTTGCCCCTTCACCTTGTTGATCGTATAGGTGGACTAATCGCCTATTACTAATTTGTTTTATTTATAACAACTGAAGGTAAAAAGAGTTTGGGAGGTTAATTAGGTAAAAAGTGTGGCTGTTCAACGAAAAATGGTATGTGAAAAGCACTAGCCACCCACAATTTTGATGTTTGAAAATGAAAATAATATAGTTATGATGTCATATGGTATTGTAAGCATACAATGATATATAATTAGTTATTTTTATTCAGAAGTTTACACATTATTTTTTTAGTACATCAAATAAAGAACTATATAATAGGGGGATAGCATTTTTTTTCCCTTAATCTCTCTCCACTTGTCTTAAGATTCAAACCTAAGACATTAAACTCTTAACCATTTGAGATACTGCTTTGGAGACAAGATCAACTCATTATATTATATATATATCTATTATTTTAATAACACATCATATTTATTTAATATTATGTTATAATTGTAATCTTTCAATACTACATAACATTATCGCTTGATATTTCGTTACACTTACACAAAAGAATATTGGGTCTTTACTCAAAACTAATTTTAAAGGGAATTCTAATACTACTTGGGTTCATTGGACCTATAGGAGATTCTAACTCTTCACCAAACCAATGTGTTTTTTCATCAGTTATACGACATTCATTAGGAATACTTTATTGTTTGCTAGATTACCTACCCTCCATAAAAGTTGCTTGGCAGATGTGATTACCTAGTAGTTTAAGACGTTGGTGATGGTAATCATTCCATTTCAGATGCCTTGCTTTTGCCCCTATGATAATTGCTTTAGCAATATCCATATCCATAGGGGCTTAGAGAAAATAGCAAGAATTAGTATTTTTAACTTATAAATTAAAAAGTTTTGAGTTTTAATTAGGTATTCATTTTGAATGGATTACAATTTTCAAGAAAAGGGAATACGAATTTTAGTCCTAAATGTAAAAAAATGCACTTTCTGATAAAACATATAACTATCATATCACGAAATTTAAGTGTGAATTTTAATTAAGAATTTAAATTAAAAATAAAAGAAATTATTATTATTATTTTAAAAATAATAATTTATATTGATAATGTTAATATATGCTCTTAAAGAATGGAGAAGTATCAATCTTGGAACTTGAACACAAAGGTGCCATCATCACTTTGCTTCTCCGAGTCAAAGAGAAGCTTGGCCATTGGCCCACATGGGTGATTGGCAGCTAAGGGAGACTTGTGTGACCAACTTACAAAGGATAAAAATAAGACAAGCTTAAAAGACAATCTCGCATGTTTGGTTCAGTTTTTAAGTGTTTTAATTTTTTTTTATATTATTTATATTTTATAAATTTAAATTTTTTTTTAAATTTATATTTTTTAATTTTTTTTAACCTTAAAAACAAGATTTAAGTACCATTTTGGTCTCTCAACTTTTCACTTTGGTACCAAAATTGTTTCTCACCTTTAAAAGGTACCAAAATTATCGTTAGACTTTTATTTTTGGTACTAAAATGGTCCTCCCATCAGTTAAATGATAGGTGGCACGTTAAAATGCCACAAAATCAATTCTTTTTTTGCTTGACTAATGACATGGAAAAAAAAAAAACACAGTTGACCATTTTTTTTATGAGTTGGTATTTTTATTTAATTTAAAAACTTTCATATCTTTTTTTCCATCCACGTGATCTCTTCTTCCTCTTTCACTTTCTCTCTCTTTTACCTTTCCTTTTCCCTTGCCTCTGCAAACCCAGATCTGGGTTCTCTCGCAAACTTCATCTTCTTCCTCCTTTCCTTTCCGTGCTCATCCTTCTTCCTTCTTCTTCTTATTCTTTCTCTCTCTCTCTCTCTTCTCCTTTTTTCTTCCTCTTTTAAACCCAAATCTGGGTTTTTCTCAAACCCAGATCTGGGTTTCATCACATAACATGGAAACTAATCTCGAATATACTAAACAGCAAAGCCGAGATCTCCTAAGCCAACTAATAGAAAGGAACATAGATTAAAAAGAGTAAAGAATTTCTAGAAAAAAAGCAATTCGAGCCAAATCACATACAAGCCAAAGCCAACTACAGATCTAATCTTGAAAATAATCAACACTAAAACCACTTAATCAGCTCAGAAAATACACATAGAAAACACAAAATAAGCAAAAGAACAAAACCAGATCTATACCCTCCTTTTCTTCCCCTTCACCTTGATCACTCGTGCCCTGTTCAAACCCAGATCTGGGTTTGTTTTGGAGAGGAAGAAAAACTCAGATCTGGCCATCCGAATTCGATAAGAAAAACCCTCAAGTCTAACACCTCAATCCCAACCCCTTCCTTCGCCAACTTCCTCGCGCTTCACACTCTTCTTCATCCCCTATGTTCCCGTCAACAACTCTATCAAAATAACTCCAAAACAATACACATCAAATTCGGTGCCACTTTGGTTATTTCCCTCATCATCTCTTCCCTTTCTGCGCCCGATGTTTCCAATCTTGACGTCGGCGATGCATGGGTCAAGATTATCAGATGGAAGGATGTTGGACAACACTGGTGACCGTGGGTGGTGCCGATGTGATGTAGGTAATTTATGTGTGAAACTCAGATTTGAGTTTGAGAAGAACCCAGATTTGGGTTTGAGAGAAGATCTGGATTTTGGATGGCCACAAAAGGCACACCAAGATCGCTTCACTCATGCTCTCCGCTTGCTGAGTGAACCATTCATCGGTGCCGAGGAAAAAGCCTGGGAAAGAAGAAGGGGCGAATGGATGAGAGAGACGAAGGGAGGAAGAAGAAGATGAATAATCTAATATTAAATTATGTGGGTTTTTATTTAAATAAGACAAAATTGCCACGTGGAAAAAGAATAATGCCATCTCATTAAGTTTATTTTCCACGTAATTATAATTTTTTTTTAAATGTGATTTTGTGGCAAGATAATGTGCCACCTGTTATTTAACTGATTGAAGAACGATTTTGGTAGAAAATGAAAGTTTAAGGATAATTTTAGTATTTTTTAAAATTAAAAGACAATTTTAGCACCAAAGTGAAAAGTTGAGAGACCAAAATGGTACTTAAATCTAAAAAAAATCTTAGATAATAAATTTTGAAAAGTTTTAAATTTTTACATTTTAAAAAATTATCTTTTTACTTACTTTGTATTTTTTTAAAAAACAAATTTTAAATTTTTCATTCAATAAAAATTTAAATTTATGAAATATAAATATATAAAAAAATTAAAACACTTATAAATTTTACCAAACATGTTTAAAAAATGAAGTTTCACAGTAAGAGTGGATCCAATATCTGGACTTCTGAATTATTCTCCAAGTCGGCGACTAAAATCATTTTTTTTTTTCGATTGCGTATTTTCAAAACAAAACTCTAAATTTTTTAGTTGTTCAACAAATCAGTCAGCGAATTAAAAACTTAAGATTCATATATCATATCTTTTTCTTCTTTGGAAAGTCGAAATCCCGCAAGATTTATGCCTTTTTCTTTGACGAGTCCAGATCTTTGAATTGTAGAGGAAGCTTCATTACCTTTATTTTGAGAAAGAATATTTTCTCTGTTAATATCACTTTAATACAGTAACCTTGACAATCAGCACTTGCTCTCTTTAATGTTGTAATTTTAACTTCTGCAGAGTTAATTTACACTACTAGAAAAATGATTAATTCAAACCGATCATATGTGGATCAAATTATATCAGTCCATATAAATATAAATTTAGATCAATATCGGTCCGAATACATTAAGGTAGTACCAAATCCATTAATCAAAATATTCAGACTGGTTTCAGTTCGTATATTTATAGCGAGAATTAACAGTGCAAACGCATTAATAATATTCAGACTGTCTTCGGTCTGAATATTTTTTCGTAAAAAATAAATATTAAATAACAAAAAATTAAGAATAAAATATTATTTAAATGAATATATACGGACCAAAAATATCGATGTTCATTTAATATTTGGATCGATTTTGGTTCGAATATCCATAATATTTAGACCAAAGATGGTCTGAATATTTTTTCATAAAAATAAATATTAAATAAAAAAAATTAGGAATAAAATAGTATTTAAATAAAGATATATAGACCAAACTCAGTCGATATATATCATGAGCAAAGTACCGAGATTCATTGAATATAAGGACAGTTACCAGTCTGAATATTTATAATATATAGACCAATATCGATCTGAAAATAGGCATCAAAGATTTCCTGAACCGATGAGATGTTGGGGCCCATTGCCAGATTCATACAGACCAATATCGGTCCATATAAGGTTGTATGCAGCTTTCATCCTCTCGATGCCCGTCCCCTCCCTTACTGCAATCCATATGCGATTTTCCTCTGTTTTTTTCTTCCTTTACACTACAAGCTTCTCCTCCTCCAATTTCTGACCAACCACAGAGGTAAATAACGTTTTTTCGTCGGTTAGTGGCCGGCGATCTCATTGGTGTATTTTTTTTTTTTTTGACAGCCTAACAAAATTTTTTTTCGACAGCCTAACATTTTTTTTTTTGCAGATATGTTGTGTTTATCGCTAGATCTGGGCATCTACAAGTATATTGGTCTCTAATCTACCCTATAAGTGAGTTTTCTAAATTTTTTTTCTTTTTATTTCAAATTTTTTTGAATTATTCTATGTTTCGAAATAAAGCCCGAAAATAAAATTTGTATTTAATTGTTAGAATGATAGATTAGAATGTTGTTAAGTTTTAAATTTTGTTTTTGATAACTGATATCTCATGAATTTATGTTTAATTTGTGTTTTAGCTAGTTGATTATTTTTTAATATTAATTGTAAAAATATATTTTGATATTATATAAAAAAATATAGATTGTGTAGAAAATTAGATAGAATTATTTCATTATTTAATTATAAAAA